AGACGGAGGCAGGAGGCCTCACCGACAGCCGCTCCCTGCGAGCGGTGTGGAAGCGGCTCCGGGCGCCAGGCTGGCAGCGTGCTGAGAGGTGGAAACTCGCCAAAGTCACCCGCGCCCTTCACGGTGCCATCTGCTGCGCGTCCCCGCGTCCCCCCGGCTCGGCACGGGGAGCTCAGCCGGGCGCTGCGGGGTGGGCGCTGCTGGGAGATGCGATGCCCCGCTCGAGGGGGCTGAGGGACGGGACGCGGAGGTTCGCGCAGCTCTCGTGCTGTTTCCCCCAGCGCCCGGGGCGGCCCGGGTCCGTGTCCATGCCCTGAGCTTTAAGCCTGCAGGCCCGAGCTGGGGCGGAAGGCAGAAAGGAGCGAGGAAGCGGGGTTGGCTCCAGGCCTGCCTCGGCTCAGCCCCGCGGCCCGGCCGAGCCTCGTGCAGCAGGGATGCGGCCCCGCTTCCTGCTCTGTCCCGTGCCAGGATCGGAGCCGAGCAAAACAACAGCTGTCTTCCGGGAGCCGTGGGAGCCGGGCGGCGAGGAGCGCACATCCGGAGAGCTGCGGAGCCCCGTCCGACAGAGCTGCTGCAGTGACGGGCAATGGGTCGATGCCCTGGGCCCGGAGAGTCCCTGCGTGCCGCTCTCCGAGTGCTGCTCGCCGGGTGCTCGCGCTGGGGTTCGGCCGGGATCCCGGGAGCGGGGCTGCTGCTGGGGCAGAGGTACCGAACCCGGCCCCCCCAGCGCCCGCAGTGCCCTCAGTCCCCGCAGCGCCCCGTCCCGTCCCGCCTGTTGCCCTCTGGTGGCAGCTCCGCCGCTCCCCGCCCCAGCGGGACCCCCCGAGCTCCGGACGAGCGCTCAGCTCCGCCCGTGGAGCTTCTCCCGTCCCCCGTGGGACTGTCCCCTCGGGGGCTGTCGTGGCCCCGCGGGTGGCAGCAGGAGGGGCCCGGCGGTGCCATCCCACCCTGCAGGGACTGCCCTGCCCGGCCGCAGAGATGGGAGGAGGAGAAGAAGAATGAGCTCCGGCTGCGTTCCGTGGCTCCCGACGGGTGAAGCAGGAAGTGTGGGAGCGGGGCGGGGAGGACTGCTGCTGCCAGGAGACTGCAGAGGGCATTTCTGAGGGACTGAGCCATCGGCCTTGTCCTCCTCCCCACCGCTCTGCAGCCACGCCAGGTGCTGCGTCACCCTCCGACCCGGTGCCCGGGGAGCTCCCCCGTCCTTCTGCCCCTCCAGCCCAAATCCCGCACCCACCTCCTCTGGCCGCCTCTCCCCAGCACTGCCTCCTTGCTCCCTCACAGCCTCGAGTTTTGCCGCAGCAGTTGGGGGCACAAAAACAGCCCGGAGCGAGCCCAGCCGCCCGCACCCCGCTCAGCTCCGCAGGGTGGGGGAGGACTCTGGGTGAGCTGAGCACGGAGGAGGCGAGGAGGAGATGCGTGACAGCGGCGGGGCAGGGCGAGCACAGAGCTGCACGTGCAAGCGGGCCGCGCTGCCCTCGTCCCGCCGCTTCGATGCCCGGCTCCGCCGTGCCGTGCTCGACCCCTGCAGCCCCGACTCCTCCGGCAGCGATCTGCTGGGACGGCGCACACTCATCTGTCGTGCTGCGTCCCCCAGTGACTGGAGCGGCTCGGGGCGGAGCGGTGCCGGTGCCGGTGCCGCAGCTGCAGCCCGCGCCGTCACAGCAGTTCTGGTTTTATGGCCGGACTCGTGATGGTGCTGGTTTTATGGCCGGGCTCGTGATGCGTTTATGGCCGCGCTGGCACTTCCTCGGGTACTACCGGCCCCGTACCCCGCATCCCACTGGCAGTGGGGTGGAGGATGGCAGCTGAACTTTGCCCGGCGAGGTGCGGCTCCCGAGGGCTCCCGCGAGAGCAGCGGCACCTCGGCTGGGTCTGTCTGCTGCCGGGCGCCTGGATGGGGAGCGGGATCCCGCCCGGCCCCTGTGGAGCGTCCTCACCACCCGCATGTCACCAGGGATGTGCTTTGGTGCCGAGACCCCGCGTCACATAGCGGCCGTCGGCCCGGCTGCGTGGAGCAGCGCGTAGCAGGTAAGCTGCCCCGAGATCCGCCCCGCATTGCCCAGGGCAGCGAGACCCACGCCGGGCCCGTCCTGGAGCTCCGTCCCCGCGCGCCCCGAGCACCGGCGCTGCTGCCCGAGTTCCTCCAACCCCCAGAGCGGCAGTGCGATGTTGCCCTAGGGAGGGGTTTGCCGGGGGGGAGCAGTGAGGACACTCAGGATCCCCGCACGGCTGGAGGACGGGATGCGGCCCTGGTCCCCGGCATCGCCCTGACGGCTCCTTCTCTCCAGGCTCGGCCAGAGGAAGGACCTTGCGGCTCCCAGCGCTGCTCCGGGGATCCGGGGGGGGGGGGAGGCACAGCCCATGGCAGACGGGCCCCCCCCGTGACGCCAAACTGGACCCCGCCGCCCCGCAGGAGCCGCCTCCCGGCCCGACCCCGCTCCACGCCGCGGGCAACCGCCGCGACGCCGCGACCGTCACCGGTGGGTCGGGCCGGGGGGTCAGGGAGGAGTCCGGGAAAATCCCGGCTTCGACCGTTCCGCGCGTCCCGGCATCCCCCGCCCCGTGTCGCGGTGCCTCAGTGCCGCCGGGAGGTGGCAGCAGGGATTCTCCCCAGGAGGCGGAGGGGAGGAGGAGAAGGATGAGATGTGGGTCCCCGTGAGCCGCCCTGCGCTGGGACGCCCTCCCGGGGCACGGGCGGCTTTGGGGAGATCTGGCTGCCCGGGGCACCAATCCCGGACCCCACGGGGGCAGAGGGGGGCAGAAAGCTCTCCTCCAAAGCGCCCTCCAGCGCCAATTTTCTGTGCCTCCATTCCGACCCCGGGTGCCCACAGCCCCCAGCTGACGCGCTGTCCCCGTATCCCCAGAGCTGTGCACCGGCGATGTCCCCGAGGTGGAGATCGTCACCCTGCTGGGCGAGCAGCTGCCCCGCTACACGCTGCGTGCCGACACCGTCTTTGGCTACGATCATGAGGACTGGCTGCGTGCCCCCCCCGCCCCGCAGCCCACAGCCCCCCTGACTCCGCAGCAGATCGAGGAGACCCTGTGGTACTTTCGTGAGTGCCCGGCCCTTGCCATGGGGCTGACCGGGGTAGCAGGTTTTGAGTGGGGGCCGTGGGGTGTAGGATTCGGGGTGGGGTCACATTGCAGTGCAGGAGCTAATCGCCACTAACGGGATTGGCGGAGTGGATTTCCTGGGCCAGAACATCCCAGGCTAATTCTGCTGAGCTGAGCCAGACGTGTGCAGAGGGCCCCAGCATCTCCCGGGAACCCCTGTGCAGCCCCCCCTTCCATGCACTGCGCTCCATGGGGTTGGGACGTGGTGGGGGCACAGGAGGGGTCTGTGCTCCGCTTGGACCTTGGTGCAGGTGTGCTGGGGGCAGGAGCAGAGCGGGGAGCTGATGGAGGTCTGGGGCAACAGGGCTGCATCCCACTGCCACCCTCGCTGCCTCCTCCCATACATGAGGGGCTGGGGGCACCACCGGCTGTGGCATGCTTGTGCTTGTGGCCCCGTGGTGTTCCTGCCCCCCTCAGCCATCAGCCCCCTGCTCTGCAGCCTCAGCTCCCAGCCCTGTGTGCCCAGTGTGGCTTAGCAGTGTGTCACCACTCCCACTCCATGTCACGTTTCTCAGTGCCCCATCTGTGTGTGCTGTGCCCCCACTCCCTCATCCCCTCACCCAGACCGTTAAGCTGCCATCAGAAATAGCCCCCTGTAATCTACTTGTGCAGAGATGCAGAGACCTGCATGAAGGAGCAAAGCTCCAGCGGGGATTAGGAGGGAGCAGCTCCTGCACACTGCGTCCTTGAGGTGCCCGTGGATGGGTGCCTGCCCACAAACTGCAGCATCCAGGGAGCAGCGAGAAGGCAGAGCCAGGAGGGTGTTGTGCCTGCCAGGAGGCAGAACTGGAGAGGGGTCAGGATCCTGGATGCTGCAGGGAGGGTCCCATGGGTGGGAGTCCAGTGGGCAAACAAAGGCATCGTGTGCTGCTGAAGGGCAGCTCCGGCCACGGCCTCATCGATTCATTGATTAGTCCAGTCCTAACAAGGACAGGCCTGGGGCAGGTGGTGGTGGAGGCACTGTGCATATCAGCACTCCTGGCATCCTGATGGAGAGCAGCCCCGCCACCCTCACCCAAAGCCCCCTGCCTGCACAGTGTGCCATACAGCTGCTCCATCATATAAGCAGAGTGTGATTCATTCAGCTCTCCCTGCCTCAGTGCTGCCTCTGCTCAGATCTGTTGGTGGAGGAGCAGGGGGTGCACCTGGATGGGGCCTGTGGGGGACAGGAGCAGTGCAGCCACGGCTGGCTCAAAGCACGGGGTTTGCTGAGTGAGGCAGTTTGAGGATGGCAACCGCTGTGTGCTGTGGGGGTGACAGGGAGACGGCGCAGCCTGGGGCGGTGTGGGGCTGGCAGGAGAGAGAGGCAGTGGGATGCAGCTCTGGCAAAGCTGTACTGTGCTGTGAACTGGGTGTCACTGGGCCCCCAGCCCTGCACACAGCCCAGGTTCAGTTCAGGGACCTGAGAGGCCTCCCGGTCCCTCCAAATAGGGCAGAAGCCGCTGTCTGTGCACTGCCACTCGGAGGTCAGCCCTATATGGCTGCTGCTCAGGGGCCGGTAACCGCTCAGCGTCCCCTCTTGGCAGCTCCCACTGGGGGATGCAGTGCACAGACCACTCCGTGTCCATGCGAGGCTGAGAGGTGGGAACCAGAACCATCCCCTATGAGGAGCGCATCCCCATGGCGAGCGTGGTTCCCATCATCTGCCTGATGGGGGTTGCGGGGTGCACGATGGGGCCGTGGGTGCATGATGGGGGCCGTGTCCCCACCGCGCACAGAGAGCTGCTGCTGCCGGCCGAGCTGCGCTGCTCTGCGCTGCGCTGTGCCGAGCCGGGGGGAGCGCGCAGCCCGCGACCCCGCCGCCCCCGCCCCGCTCAGGCCTCAGCGCCGCCCCCGGGACGCAGCGGGCAGGTGCGCGCCGAGCGACCCCATAAATAGGGGCGGGAGCGGACGGCTCGGCACGGCTCCGCGGTGGGCACGGCACCATGGAGATCTGGAGCAGCCCCGCCGCTTACGACGAGCTGAACGGGAACGCGGAGCGCGGCGGCGGCGCGGATCCCATCGCCCGAGAGCTGGAGGAAGGTGGGGGGGGGCGCGGGGCTGCGGCGGGGCCGGGGCTGCGGTGGGGGTGCGGGGCCGGGGGCTCCCTAGGAGCCGTGCCACGGCTCCCGGTCTGTGTATTTCCCTTGGGGTTGGCACCCCCCCCCAACCGCTCCTTGCTATCCGGTCCCTTTGGGGATCGCTGCGATCCCAGGAGGGGTTCACACACGGTGGGGGTGGGCAGAGGAATGGGAAAGGATCTGTGTGGTTGTGGGGCTGGGGGCAGCCCTCCCATGGGGTGTGGGTCCCCATGCCGTGCTGGCCCGGCCGTGGTGGTTGCTGTGTACGTGTTGGGCAGCGTATGGCTCCCAGGGCCCGCTGCTGGCTCACGCCATAAAGATGCTCATGCTCCAATTATTTCCAATTAACGGCTCAGTGGCCTGACGAAGTGCGGTTAGAGACCCTGCGGGAAGCAGGCCCTGCTGAGGGGAGGGGGCCGGGGCTGAGGCTGTCCCCCCCATCCCCATAGATGCACCCACTGTGCTCTGGACAGGGACACGGGTGGTGAGTGGGGGCATCGCCATGGCGATGTGCGCCGTTACACAATCCCATCTGGGGCAGCGTAATGGGATTTGTGTGGCTGAGCCTCCCCTGTTAACCCACTTCGTCTGCCCGCCTGGGGGAGTGCGTGGGGTGGGGGCTGCAGGGTGAGACTGCTGGGCTGCTCTGCTGGGGAAACTGAGGCATGGTGCCACAGGGCTGCGAGCACAGTGAGCGGCTGTGGGGTGCGGGCAGTCCTGGGGCAGGCAGAGCTCAGGGCCTCGCGCTCACTGCTGGCTGCCTCTGCAGGTAGCGGCTCGGTGCTGGGGGGTGGACACCCCTTGTGTCGCCCATCTGCCCCAGATCCCCAGATATAATGGGGAGGAGGTGACCCCCCCAGTTCGGTGTCTGTTCCTGCAGCTGCTTTTGTTCCCGTTGCTGCTCACAGGCGCTGCTCTCTGCAGCTGTGGGAGCATTGGGTGGGCACGGGGTGCAGCACCCCAAGAAGGCAGATGTTGTTGTTGGGCCCTGCTGTGGCTGTGGGGTTGGGATGCTGTGGGCTCTGTCCCTTTGCTCCTGAACATGGGCTAGAGCAGATCCCTGTGCTCGGCCAGCGACCCCATGGAGAAACTAGGGCAGGGCTGGCTTCCTGCAGTGACATCTGGGGGAGGGGGCTGGGGCAGGCTGGGGGGACGCTGCCTGCAGCTTGACTTCACGCAGTGCTGCATGGCGTTGTTTGTGCCAGTGCTTCCAGCCTGGCTTTGTGTTGGAGATATCACCTCCCTTCGGCCCCTCCTTCCCATCCGTGTGCCTTGTATCAGGATGGGGGGGATGTTGACACCTTCCCCTTCACAATGAGATGTGGGGTGATGTTGGTGTGTGCCCCACAGTGCCACAGGAGCATCCCTGCCTGCACTGTGCTGCTGCTGCCCAGTAAATGGAAGCAGTGCAGGGCAGCTCAGCGCAGTTGCTGCAGCCATCGCCCATCACTGTGCAGGGGCAGCAGCGCCTGCCCATGGGTGGGCTGCAAGCTGCAGCACGAGAGGAGGGGGCAGCAGGGAAGCTCCGAGCCCCTCCTGTAGCCCTGTGTGAGGGCACAGCCAGGCTCAGCTTTTGCCCTTCTCCCCCAGTCCTGTGCACTGAGCGTGCTGTGCGGATCACCAAGACGTACCACGACATCGATGCTGTCACCAACCTGCTGGATGAGGTGAGCTGGTGCACGGGGACCTGGGGCTGTGGGACAGGGACCAGAGGGGATAGTCCTGGCTGACATTCAATCCATTTCCCCCTGCCTCCTGCAGAAAGAGAGAGACCTGGAGCTGGCGGCGCGTATTGGGCAGTCCCTGCTGAAGCAGAACCGCAGCCTGACGGAGCGCAATGAGCTGCTGGAGGAGCAGCTGGAGCTGGCCAAGGAGGAGGTACCACCCTCGGCCCGGTGCTGGGGGGCTTGCAGGCTGTGCCCCTGAGCTGAGCCCTGATGTCCCCCCAGATCGCACAGCTGCGCCACGAGGTCTCCATGAGGGATGATCTGCTCCATTTCTACACCACCAACACTGAGGAGAGCGAACCCACCTCTGCCCCCATCACACCGTGAGTGGGCTCTATGGGGCAGCCCCGTGGATGTGGGTCAGGGGGCTGGCAGGCCCTCATCCTGCCCACACTGCAGGTGCTCAGCGCCCACCCTGCTGTCCCCAGGCTGCGCCGGAATGAGTCCTCACTGTCCCTGCAGCAGTTCTTCCAGTATGATGCTTTGCAGCAGAAGCTCCGGATCCTGGAGGAGGAGAACCAGAAGCTTCGCCTGGAGGTGAAGGCAGCATGGGGCACCCAGTGGTGATGCTGGGGGGGAAACGCTCTGATCAAGCACAGCCCCTGTCCTCTCCTCCAGGCCACCACCATTGTGACAGAGACCAGCCGGTACGAGGACCAGGAGCAGCAGCTGATGATTGACTGCGTGGAGCAGTTCTGTATGTGGGCTGAGCGGGGGGGAAGGTGGGGGGTACCTGCTGGGTGCTGGGGAGCACCCAGGGAGGATGGTGATGGTGCTCCCCCGCAGCTGCAGCCAGCCAGCAGGTTGCCTGTCTGTCAGAAGAGCTGGCCCGCAAGGCCGAGGACACGGCGAGGCAGCAGGAGGAGATCAGTCAGCTCCTGGCACAGGTGGTGGAGCTGCAGCAGAAGTGCAGAACGGTGAGCTTCCCTCCCCTGCTCTGTGCTGAGGGGCCCCGGGGGGGCGCAGCACACGGCACGCAGCCCCCTCTGACTCCCCGCCCACCGCTCCGCAGTACGGCACGGAGGTGGAGGAGCTCCAGCAGCACCTGGCCGCGGCCAAGGAGGTGCAGCAGCATCTCCGGACGGAGGTGAGAGGTTGGGGACGGAGCGTGGCTGCAGGTCCCACCGGTGGGGGCTGTGCTCTGAGCGGTGCCCCCTCCCCGCAGCTGCGGGACCTGCAGGACAAATACGTGGAGTGCGGTGGGATGCTGCAGGAGGCCCAGGAGGAGGTGAAGAGCCTTCGCAGCCGCAGTCTGCCCAACAGCACCGTCAGCCGCTACGGCGCCGGCAGCAGCCTCCTGCCCCTGGTGTGTGTGGGGGGTGCGGTGGGGGTGGGGGGCGCAGCTCCCCTGTGCTGACGCTGCATCCCAACCCTGCAGGAATCGTTGGCTGCTGAGATCAAGGGGACGATGAGGAAGGGGACGGAGTCCTCCTCAGACTACAGGTGAGGGCTGATGACCTGAGCCCGGAGGGGGGAGGATTGGCCTAAGAAAGGAGATGTGGCACTTGGGGACGTGGTAGGGATGATCTGACGGCAGCGATTCTGTGTGCCCCGTGCACACACCCCCCGCTCCCTGCCCACAGGAGCTGTCTGCGTGTTTTCGAGACGGTGAAGGCAGTGAACCACGCGGCCAAAGCCCGGTCGAGCTCCGCATCCCCCCAGCACACACCCGGCTCCAAGCAGACCTCGGCTGCTCCCTCCGGGGGGAGCAGCACTCCTCACCCCAGTCCAGAGGGTCCCCAGTGAGTGTGTGTGGGAGGGGAGGGGGGCTGGCTCAGGGCAGAGGCTGGGGGTCCTTTAACGCCGTGCAATGCGCCGCGCAATGCGCTGAGCCCCTGACCCCGTGCCCCTGCAGGACGGCGGGCCCGCGGGCAGCCCCCGGCCGCCAGGATCTGGAGGCGGCGGTGCAGCGGCTGTCGGCGCAGCAGCGGCGCCACTCGGAGGAGCGCTCCTTCTTCGATGCGGAGCGGGAGCGCAAGCTGTGGCGGCTGCGGGATGAGGACGGCTCCAGCGGGATCCCGACGCCCGACGGCAGCGTTGTGTCCGCCGGCACCACTTGCTCGGGGGGCTCTGAGCACACCGCTGCCTCTGGCTTCTCGCTGGGCTCGCTCAGCTTCCTGCCTGACAAGCTGCAGATCGTGAAGCCGCTGGAAGGTGAGGAACGCGAGGGGACGTCGTGCAGCCCCGGGAGTGCCAGAAAGGTCCTGTGTTCCCAGCTGAGCCCCTCTGCACGCCTGTATCCTCCCTCCAGGCTCAGTGACGCTCCACCACTGGCAGCAGCTGGCGCAGCCCAACCTGGGGGGGATCTTGGTGCCGCGTCCTGGGGTGCTCACGAAGGACTTCAGGCCGCTGGACACCGACCTGGAGGAGGTGTACAGCCTCACCGACCTGGAGGAGGATGAGGTGGAGGCTGCCTCCTTCCAGCTGCTGCCCACCTCCATGCCTGCCAAAGCCATGGAGCGCCCCGGGGGTGAGCGGTGGGCACAGAAATGGGGGGGACGTGGCCCCCAGTCCCTCTCTGCCCTCCTGTGCTCTTTGCCCCGTGCTCCCCCTTGTGCTCTTCCTTCTCCCCTCCCTTCCGCCTGTCCATTCCCACAGAGCTGCCCTGGTGCCATGAAGGCATGTGGCCAAGGAGGGTGCAGGAGCACCCTGGGCACTCTGTGTCTCCTCTGAGCTGTACAGGGCTGAAGCACAGCCACCATTGCTCCCTGGGTGTGGGATTCTGCTGCTTCCAGCCTAACGCTGATGCCCCCCTCCACCCCCACCCTGCTCTCTGTGCCCTTCCCTCCATGTCCCATTAATCCGCCGTCTCCTGTCCCCTCCAGTGCTCCTCTCTGCTAACAACCTCCCCCAGACCCCATCCACCTTCACCATCACCACCTGCCACATCCTCCACCCCACCACTGAGCTCACCACGGTGATCCCCAGGTATGTGCCTCCCTCCCCACCTGCACCATTCCCCGCTGCCTCCCCTTGTCCCTCCTGCCTGTTCTCCCCCCACCCTCGGGGGGGGAGCTTTGTGGGGAAGGAGTGAGGCATTGAGGCTAGAGCTGAGCCTGCTGCCTTCCTGCTGGGCTCAGGATGGAGCAAGGAATGGGCGCCTTAACTGCTGAGCACTACTGTGAAGCAGTAATAGGAGCGGAGGGCATTGGTGCGAGCTGGAGTTCACAGCATTAGCAAAAAACAGAAGCCAAACACCACCACATGACCTGCCCTGCATGCACGATGAGTGAGCACGCTGCACTGCTCCCAGCCCTGCCGCTGCTCCTCGCTGAGCCCCACTCCTCTCTCTCCCTGCAGTCTGCATCACTCGGTCGTGCCTTCTTGTGGGCCCTTTGAGGGGCTGAACCGCAGCCCCCAGTCTTTGCGGCCGTCCTGCCCGGCGCCGGCACACCGCCCCGCATCGCCTCTGGGTCTCGTCCGCCTCGTGCTGCTGCGCGGCATCAATGCTGTGCTGCTCCCGGCCCCCACCAGGAGGGCCTCCCCGCTCTCCCACCAGCCCTGCGCTGCGGAGGAGGGGCAGCGGGGACCCGCATCGCGGAGCAGCATCTTCAGCGGGAACCTCGTGCAGAAGCTGCTGCGCCTGGGGCTGCACCGGGTGGTGGCCCGTGGGGAGCGGTCCTACGTTGACGGGGAGCTCCGGGAGCAGCGCGATGCGCCCACGTGAGGGCACGGCAACGGCACGCGGGACGGAACGAATCCTCCGCTCTCTTCATCTCCAGCCGCGGGCGAACAGCGCTGGGCTCCCTCGGCGGCATCACCCGCCCTGGGGCAGCGCAGAGCCCGGCAGCAGCTTTTGGGGCTTTATCTCAGCGGCAGAACTCGGAGCTCTGCAGTGAGCGGCCCCTTCCCTGCCTCCCGGCCTCCTTCTCCCCGGCCCCCCTGCTGGCGGCACAACCGGATGGCGAGGAGCAGCGGCTGCACGTGCCGGGCTGAGCCCCCACCGCCGGGACCCGAACTGACTCCTAAAGCAAACGGTGGTTTTAAAGTGGTGTTTTCTAAACTCTTTTCTGCCCCACAAATAGATGTAGCAGCGCTGCAGCTGTGCCCCATCTCTATGGAATAAAAGCGACCACCTGAGGCAGCTCGCTGTCTCCCTCATAGCCGCACCTCCAACGACAGCAGCAGCAGAGCTGGGAGTGCCAAAGCTTTATTGTGGGACCAGAGATGGGCTGAATGCCGGGGCTCCCCGCGGGGCTACGCAGCATCGGCCGCATCCTCGGCGCTCCGGCGGCCGAAGTCCATCCAGTCGGGGTAGAAGTGGTCGTGCAGGGCCTCTACCGCCCCGTTCCCCTGCACGAAGCCTTTGCGGTCACTCAGCTCTGAGGAGGTGAAGGGAGAGGGTCAGAGCCGCCCGGGGCCGGGGCTGGCTGGGAGAGAGCCGGGAGCTGCGGTACCTGCGAAGACGTGGGGCAGGAAGCGGGAGATGAAGCGCTGCTGCTGCTCCTGGGCCGGGGGCTCGGGCCAATCCCGCCGGGCCGGGCTGGAGGGGGGGCGGTGGGAGCCTCCCGGGACGTTCGCTGCCGGCCGGCACAGGCAGGCGGTCACCGCCGCGCTGAGGATGAGGCCGAGGAACACCTTCGTCTTCATGGCTGCGGAGGGAAGGGGAGAGAGAGGCTGCGGCAGCAAACCGGAGCGAGAGACGGGCAGCGGCGTGCTCGATCTCACCGCCCCTCCCGGCCGCTCCGCACGCCCCTCCTCACCTCACGTTGCTGCTCCGGGGCTCCGCGCGGCTCCCTGCGCTCCGTCCGCACTTTTGAAGGCGCCCGCGCTGCGCTCCGCCCCGGGGCGGCTCCGACCGCTGCGGTGTTCGGGGCGCAGAGATACGAGGGATGGATGCACAACACGCACGCAGCCGTGCAGACGCACGCAGCCATGCAGCGCACACACAAATGGATGCACACGTATCTACCCACAGGTGCACACATCCATGCGTACACATCTGTGCGTACACACATCCGCACACACAGACACACATCAGTACACACGTGCACATATGTGTACATGCACACACATCCCTTCACACACACACACACACACACACACCAGCTCTGCTCCGAGCTGCCCCACAGCACAGCTCTGTGCCCTACACCAGGACGTGGGGGGCAGGGGTCCACGGGGCACTCAGAGGCTGCAGCAGCTGCAGGGCCCCTTCACAAACCACGCTGTGGTGCTGGACACAAACCTGTACATGGACCATGGATAACGTGTGTTCACTCGGTCACAGAGGCAGAGATGTGGGTACACAGACACATTATGTGTACAGGTGTAGGTCTGCATACCAGTTATGTGTGTGTCTGCACAGATAGATGTACTTACATTTGCATGTGCTTACACACATTGCAGCAGACACAGAGGCACATACGCAGTATTTCTGTAGAGGCAGAGTGCTGCACGGCTCAGCTGCACAGAGTGCTGTGTCTGCCTTTGAAGGTTCACAGAAAGGCAGAGCCGAGCTGCACAGCTGCAGAGAATGAGCGTACAGCCCCGAGTGGCTGTGAAGCAGAGCTGTATTCCACACAGACACAGAGCTGTTCCTCCCTCCACGCCATCCCCACACTCCCGGGGCGGCTCAGCCCCCTCTCTGTGCTCGGAGGAACAGCGCTGGGTTGCTGTTATCTCACAGAGCCACGGCTGCTCTTGTATTGACCCTCATCCCGCAGTGTTTGGGAACATTTGCCTCATCCCTTCAACAGAGGATGCAGCAGTGACGTGTTGACATCTGCCCCGGCCCTGGCCGTGTTTGCAGAAGGGAACCAATCCTCAGATAAGCCCCAAACAAATGGGCTTTGGATGGGCAGGAGGCAGCGTGCCCTGCTCCTCTGCTGCCCACAGCAATCAATGAATCCCTCTTGGGAGCGATTTTTACAAAGAACAAACAAATTGTTTTGTCATTTCGGGCTTTTAATGGCTCAATCTGGGCCAAATGAGCCGTGCTGTGACGGGCTCACAGCGGCTGCTCCCTGCAGCCCTCGCTCTGTGGGGCTGTGATGTGGGGCTGCAGTGCCCATGGGCACAGGGCCGTCCTTGCGTCCTTGTGCCATCAGAGCACTGCACCACAGCCATGGGAGCAGGGACAGCACGGACACCTCGCAGCCAGCAGGTAAATGCCTGGCTCTGCAGCAGGCAGTGCTCAGCTCCTCCAGCCCTGGCTGTGTGCGGAGGCAGCAGGGCTGTCTTCTTTACCTTCCCAACACAGGGACCACACAGCGTCCCTCAGTGCAGGCAGGAGCTCTGAGCAGTGCTGGCACTCAGTGCCTTTGCGATGGGTGGAAGGCAGCTACTGCAGCAAACTGCTTTCCGGGAGCAAGGTCTCACCAGGAAGTACAGGGCAGCAAGGTGAGCTGAGTGCAGGGAAAACCAGGCTGAAAGTCAGGGCCTTCCACAGCAGCAAGTAGATGAACACACTTTTTGAGGGCTGCCAACCCCCCGCAGCTCCCAGTGGTGCCACTGCTGCACAGGTTGGGACGGAGCTGCCTGCAGCGCTGCAGAGGGAAGCGCACGGACTTCCTGCTCGTGCTGCACTTGCAGACCCACATCTCCAGGCCTGTTGCAAAACTGTTCCACCCCTGTACTTTCAGTGACCTCCAGCCGCAGCCCGGCCTGCAGCAAAGCCTGGTTGTAGGAACAGAACCCTCCCTGCAGCAGCAGCACTGAGCCCACACACCTATGGGCAAGCAGGGGGCACCTGGCGCAAGGCTCAGCGCGGCCCAGTCCAGCGAGGGAGGGACTCAACCTCCACCCTTGGGCTGTTTACTTCAACTTTGGCCAGGGATGAGGAAGAGCAGCACTGCAGTTGCTCTGGTTCCCCTTCCTGCGCTGGGTCGCACTGCACTGCGCTCACAGCTGCGCAGCACAGCAGCTCCACGCGGCACCGGGGCTGCAGCGCTCAGTGCTGCGCCACCGCCGCACCGAAACAAAGCATTTTGGCTTCAAAATGCAACTGAATAATCCGCCAAGCCAACACTTTTCAAAACCATTTTTATTTAAATAAGACTTTAAATACATTACATAAAACATTAAAAATGAAACCAAAAATCTGTTACTTCACAGGGCATTAGGCAGCAGTCGCTAGTAACACGTAAGCTCTGCAGCTCTATTTACAATGATACTTGTTACATTAGTCCAAGATTGATCCCTTGTCAGAAGTTTAACCCAAGGCGATGGTTCCTTCAGGTACAGCAGCCCCCGCTCTTTGGGCTTGTATGACATCAGCACCTGCCAGGCCAGGACTGCAGGCACCCAGCCTTAAGGTCGCTCCATTTGCTCAGCTTCCCCAGATCCCTCTACCACTGGGAATGACAGCCTACAGAGGGTCCTGTCTGCCCTGGCTGTGCCACAGCTCGGCACCTTGCTGCAGGGCCCCCATGGTCACTGCCCATGGAAAGGGGAGGGCAGAGCTGGGGGCAGAGCTGGGGGCAGGCCCTGGGCTCAGCAGGGAGCAGCCGGGCACTTGTGGCGTTTTCCAGCCTGAAGCTAAACGCCCAAATTACCTCTGTTAAATGAGGGACAGCAAGACGAGATAGCATGGGCTCTTGTCAGTTTATTACATCACTGAATTACACCAGTCCAGACTGAACAGTGGACCCAAGAATGGTACATTACACAAACCGACTGGTTTTAAACTTATGACAAGGGACAGATGGGAATCTCATTGTAAGGAAATCTTCTTGCATAAAGCTTCAGTGGCCCATGGGCACTTAAAACCCATGGACTTTCAGCTGGTCGTCTTTGGCCAGTCCAATCTGCAAGAAAAAAATGCACTTCATAGTACCTCACACCACTCAAACCTCTGTGAGCATTCATACACCATCTGCACTGCAGAACTGACAAATTCCTGCTTCTCCCCAAAACACGGAATGCAAACAAGACTGCAACTGCAAAATCTCACAGAATAATGTATTCCTCCAGCAAATGTTTCAGTAAGCACAGGAGCAGTCTCCTCCCTCCACTGCTCTTTTGCACACAGTCAGGTTCTGCTCCACTCCCAGTTCAGCAATTAAGCCTTACCTCGACGAGGAACTGGCAGATGTTCTTGCGCTGGTCGCCCTGCAGCTGAATCACTTCTCCATACTCAGGGTGCTCGATCACAGTACCATTGCAGGCAAATTTCTGGGGAAAGAAGGCTCCTTCAGGACGACAAAACCTCTTACTGCTACCCCGGCCCCACAGCCCCCCGTGTCCCACCGCCCCCGGCCCCACACAGTCCCACAGCCCACCTTCTTGAACGCCTTCACCAGTTTCTTTTTATCGTAATCATCCGCGATGCCCTGGACAGTTGTGAGGGTCTTCCTGCCGTTCCGCTGCTGGATCCTTATATGGATGTAGTCCTCAGTGCCGGCAGGAAGCAGGTCATCACCCTTACTTGCATCAGCAAAGGGGTCTGCGGGGAGAGTGCGTCAGCGCCGGCCCCGCCCCGCCGCGCTCCCATTGGCCCATCCGCCCGCCCGTCACCCTCCGCCCCCGCCCCCTCCCCGCCCCCACCCCCCCGCGGCTGACGCAACGCGGCCCCGGAGCGCAGCTGCGCCACGGGGCGGAGCCGCCGCAGGGAGGGGCCGCCGGGCCCGGCCCGGCCCAGCGCCGCACAAAGGCCTCACCGAAGGGTTGGAGGTTCTGGATAGCGGACATACGATACGCTTCCCTTCCCTCGGCGAGGTGGCGGCGGCGGGCGGCGGCGGAGGCGGCGACGCGGCGGGTGGCGGCGGCGGCGCGAGCGGCTGAGACGGAGGATGCTCTCGCGGCGGCGGCTGCGGACGCTGTCACGGGGGCGGGACCGGCGCCGCCCGCTTATATACCACCTCCGCGTGACGTCAGCACGCACGAGAAACGAGCGCGCCGATTGGTCCCCCCGCGGGGGCGTCACGACGTACGGCCGAACGCGGCCACGCCTCGGCTGGCGCGACGGGAGCCGTACGCATGCGCAACTCTAAGCCGCGCGGGGTGGGGGGGGGGGCAGCGGCACGCGGTGCGGCGCACGCGCAGTACGGCGGCGCCTCGCGGGGCCTCGGGCAGCGCCTGGCCGGGCGATCGCGCTGTGCTGCGGCCGCGCTGCTCCCGGCGCCCCGCACGGCTCGGCTCGGCGCTGTCCTCGCGTTTGCGGAGCCTGCGGCCTCCCTCGTGCCATCCGCTCCCCGCAGTGGCGGCTCCAGGCCCCGCGATGGCTGCGGTCCGCCCGGCCCTCGTCCCCGCCTCGTGAACGTCGGGGTTCGGTGCTGCGGAGCCCCCCGGGCCGCTCGCCCCGCGCCGTGGCAGCTGGGCGGCTCTGTGAGGCCCCTGCCCGGGGGCTCCGTGGGCGGCGATGGGCCGGAGGTCCCTTAAAGCAGACGCGCTCAGAGCAGCTTCCAGGGCTCCCGCCGTGCGGCCCCGGCTCTGCGCTGCGCGAGCGGTGCCATCGGCTGCTGAGCGCCGCGTGCCGTCAGGCAGCATCGCACGCAGCCCTGCGGTGTGCTGAAGCAGCGTGTGGGTACGGAGGGAGGCGAGAATGGGGCAGAAGCCGTGAGGTTCGTGCGAGGTTCGAACGCCTCTGGGCGCCGATGGACCGCGCGGGGACGGAGCCGTACGGCGCTGTGCCGCTCAGCCAGCGCTCCTCTGCGGCCGTCCGCGCCCCGCCGTGGTGCTGTGCATTTCCGAGGGACGATCGGCACCGCGCCGTGCTGCTCTGCGGCCCTGGCAGCCGTCGCACGGTGGGGATGCTTCGTTCCTGGG